AGCTTTTCGACCTTGGGGAGTACATCGCTGACACAAATATGGATTCAATATTTCGTAAGATATAGTAGATTAAGATGTAAATAATTAAGAATTCCACCAGACTATAATGTGATGTCAATTATTGAGATTCGTATATAATATACCAGCCTCAACCAGCCACACAACATAACCTATATAAACTACCACCTAAAAAGTATTATGAGCATGACGAAGGATGTATTGGTTTTGGTATGTTGAAAAGCTCGTTTTTGATTTTCCAAGTAGTTTTCGAAATAATTGGGAAAACTGAAATCAAAAATATAAAAAATCCATAAGGGTGTAATATATTACCATTGGTTGGCGATTTAATTCATATCCAGTATTTCAATATGGGTGCGCCGATGGTTAAAAAAAAATCGTTAAGATTACACGTTAGGAAGTTATAATAATAATAGGGCATATTCCAGTTTTTGATATTTCGTGGCCAAACAAATTAAATTTCTATTGAAATAATTTTCAATTATTTGTTTTACGACAATCTCATGATGATTACAAGATTACATGACTGTCTATTCTAATTGATATTATGCTACATACAGCAACCATAATTTACCTAGTTGTTAGTAGCGTATAGTGCATACTCAATAATGTGTATTATGATGACGTATGTTTGTGTATACACAAATCAATAATAATTGCTATTATTAAATATTATTTTATACAACTTTTTTAATAATTTAACACATGTCTAAACATTATAGTGAAATAGTAGCTAAGAGTAGGTTCAGAGCATAACAAAAACACTGCGAACATATTATAATATCGCAATATTCTTTTGGTTCTGAAGTGATGGGGTTTAAACTCAATAGTTCCTCCCCGTATGTACGCTACTGCATTTTTTCGTGGAATATTGTATGTCTAATTCTAAAAATCTTTAAACTTTACTAGGTTTTTTGCTCATATTACTGCATCACTGTAGTTATTTTGGTCGGGCTGAAAACCCTGTAGTTATGTAATATGTTCGTTTATTATAAAACATAATCCAATTAAAATATTTTTTTTATAGATATCATATTTGGATACGATTTGAGACAGCAACTATCTGGCACTTTGAGTACAATACGCATTGGTGTAGAATTGTATGAACTCCATAACATCTTAGTACCTAATTTCAAATTGCATTAAATGTCGTCGTTTTCTTTTTTAGAATTTCAAAGATGATTGGGCTGAGAGCTTACCAAATTTGGTTGCATCCAAATTTCATATTCAAATTATACCAAAGGTTGACCGGAATTTCAAAAACAATAAATAGTGGATATTATATTTTAGATCAGGTAGATAACGAATTAAGGTATATCCCGTCATTTCATTTATGTGTGCTGTCCGAATAATTTAAATATTATATTGCGGAAATAGACTATCAGTTATCGTGGAAATATTAATTTGTACTTAAAACAAGCCACAGGCATATAGAAAAATATCGTGGATTTTAGATTCTGAGTGGAGTAAGGAATGTATAGTTTTCACAAAAAGGTGTTTTTTCTTTTTTCCATGAACAAGTTTTCTACCAGCAATTTTGCTCCAGTTTACAATAATAGCACTTTTTTTTGAAAGGGAATCAGGTTGAGGAGGTATTTTAAGTAGCTTTTTTTTGATTTTATATTTTTGTTTATTGTCATTTAAACTAAATACACAAACCATACGAATCAAATAAAAAATATGACCTAATTGGTCTTTTGAAATATAAGTCGAATAAAAACTTTGTCCATGAACCATGCGAAGTGTCCGTTTATATTATGGATAAGACGATTTCAATGAAACTTATAGTTAACTCTTTAAACTATTTTTTAATAATTGATAAGCCTAAATTCATTGAGTCTCATTCAATGAATTATCATGACGCATTCCGAGTAGCAGGGTNTAAAAAAAACTAAAAATTAATCATGAGCATTGAAATCGAACTATATAACATTTGCATTATAGACGCCATATTAAAATTTAACCCTACCTAAATTATTCCTACATAAATAAACATTTTTATATCTAGTAAATTGGATTTAAGGTTAAGGATCGTTATAAGTAGGGAGCAATAATAATCTCTCGGACTTTAAATATTAAATTAATAATTATTAGATTCTCGCTATTAAAAAAGAAGAATTCAAACAGAAGAAATCAGTAATCCAAAAATACTCTTCGGATTTTACCGATGAAAAACATGGTGAGTCTAGAATTATAATTATATGATTGTGTCCGTGTTATATGTTTTTTTCTCAAAGGTTCTTCAGAAAGTTTGTTGGAAATGGTTTTGAAATTAAGCGAAAAAAACGAAAATTTTTCCGATAAATTTATCAAAGATGAGATAAGCTTCTTTTTGGGCGCTGTAAGTACGAATATTTAAAATGATCGCACCCATAGTCAAGTTATACATATTATAGTCTGAGTACACATTTTTATTTTTTTATGATTATTAATGTTCCAGGGCAGTGAAACCATGACTATCACGACTAGTTTTTGTTTTTTAATGTTGGCCATTCACCAAGATATCCAAGTAAGTATATTTATCATTGGTGCTGTTAATTTTTTTTTTATAAAGCAGTTTCAGTTAAATCGCTTTAATGAAATAAACTTCATAAAATTCAAGGGGAAAAGGAATTAAGAGCTATAATTATAGCAGCGTACTAGACATTCCTGTGCTTCACATTTTTCCTAATCATATCAAGTGTTCACCCATGTTGTACATAATATTAAAGAAGATGAATTCGGTAATAGCTAGTAGTCATTTCCATATTTAGTTAAATATTTAAAAAGCTAATACAAGGGACAAGTGTGGCCACATTATGGGTTGACATTTGGTAACGTGAGATTATTTATGTTCTTCAATTTATTTCTGTAACCAACAATAAATCTTAGTTATCGAAAATCAATTTGGAGCGAAGTTCGGTTATACATGTTTTAAAAGGCCGTACAATTTGCGATACTCGTCTAAATTTGACTTCACACTGTTTTTCTGTCTACTTAGTACGAATTGTATTGAACCACTCATTTAAATGTCTAGAAATTATTGGTAACTACCAATTAAAAATTACGTGCAAAACTTACAAGTTATAATGAATATAAATAGCTCAAAAATAGCTAAAATGTATTAATAATTGTATAATATAATTATTTACTCATTATGATCTTTTAACATTTTGGGAATAGATAAGTATTATCTGCGTGTTTAATATATTTACTAAAAAATATGATAAATTGTTAGAATATAGCATTTAAACGCTATGCCACATAATAATAAAACAAAAAGTTGAAATCATAGATATCAGAGTATAGCAGATTAGTCATAAGTCATAAATTAAATGGTGAGTTGACATTTTGATCATCACTGAAGTTCAACCAAAAGTATAACTGTGATATGGCAGTAACAATTTTTGTCTATTATGAATAAAGTCTCTGTTGCACATCAGTATCAAAAAAAAATTGTAATGTGAAATAATTAATGTACTACGTACATTGTACATATTTTGATTTTGAATTTTATTTTAATATAAAATCTTATGCAAATGATGCAGTTATAATTTTTATAATTTTGTAATTGATCTCTACATACATTGTTTCTGATATATCAGAATAAGGTGTACGACGAAATATACAATGTTTTCGGTGACGGTGACTATATAATTACCATGGAAGATACCGCCCGACTAGTGTATTTAGAACAAGTGTTAAAGGAAACAATACGAATGTACCCACCAGTACCGATAATTATCAGAGAAATTCAGGGAGACATTCAAATTTGTGAGTACTTACGTAATATTTTGTTTGTGTCATATCGATTTATTTCATATTTTAATAAAGATATATATATATATAATACGTAATATACAGGTTGAAAAATCAAGCGTAAGATAATGATTAACTCGAAAAGTATAAACTTATTTTTGAAATTGGCTTCATAAAAAAATTTAAGTGTAAAGAATCTTTAATTTTTTAATTTTATAGTATTTTCCGTCATTTACATTCTTTGTGAACGATTGCCTATTTTCGATTTTCAAATAACAAAACCTCTGTTTTAATAATTGTAAAAATAGATGGAGTACAATAAGTTAAAATAAATTTTGATGTTGATGTGATTGTAAATCTTCAACAAAATATCCTTTATGGACAATTTTCAATAACTTTCTTATTTTTAGAAAATTTAAAATTTCAGAACTGGTTGTTTTTTAAATGATTTCTAAAACAAATTTCGAAAAAAGTTTATACTCTCCGAGGTAAAGGGTGACCTGCGTTAGATAGATCACCTTGTATATCAAATCGAATATTAACATTTAATAAAGGAATGCATAAAATATATGATATTCATACATATTATTATCATTTATATAGCTTCTGGTAATCATGTAATACCCAAAGGAACGGCGTGTGCTATAAACATACTGAACACGCATTATATTCCTACATTATACCCGAATCCGCGTGTTTTTAATCCAGACAACTTCAACAAGGAAAACATCGCTACACGTCACAAATACAGTTTTATGGGTTTTAGTCGCGGTGCAAGAAATTGTATAGGTCAGTCTATAATATTATATCCCAGTGCTTCAATTAAGGGTGAGGCCCAAAAAAACATTATGGTTCATAACAATGTTTTTCTAGTTTTTTATTTATTATTATGAATAGCTCCATGGTAATTATGAAATTTCTTGTTGAACCAACTAGGCTACAGAAGCTTTCCATTCAACTTTTCAACAGAAACCACCATCCTTAAAGTTAAATATAAGTGTGAGATATTTGGTAAAAATTTGTTAACTGACAAAAAAAAATCAAATTCAAAACCAGTATGATCCAAAATAGTTATAAGTTATGTAAATAAAATTTTGAATTATATTTAAAATTTGGTATAAAGTCTTTATGTCACCCTTGTTTTATTTTCCCCATTAGAGAATTGCGTATATAAAATACTCAAAAATAGATATAAACGAGGTATACTCATTAACACATGTTTTTTTGATTTACTTCGATTACAGGGAATCAGTACGCTATGCAGTACATGAAAGTTCAGATGTCTATGATATTGCAAAATTTCAGCGTACACACAAACATAACAATGGACGACATCAAATTGAAGTCGGATATATTGTTGANGTTACAATTCGACGGAGAAATACACCGTCTACGGTTAAATAATATCTACTTAGAAATAATGCTGTAGTTTAATAACATAAAATTCGATTCTCGAAATTCATTTAAACGGTTTTCAAATAGGTTTTTGAAAATTGTCGATTTTGGTTTTGGTTTTTTTCGAAGTTTTTTAAATTCCAACAAAATTTAGTCTTTTTTTAAATCTATCATTACTTTGATAATTAGGTCGCTATTAACAAGTTTTTTTTTTTTTATCAATTATTATTTTACTAAAATAATTCTTTATTTTTATAGGGATCTTATAATGGATAATAATTAAATCTAAATATAATTATTATAATTTAGAAAAACAAAATAAATGTGAGCTATATAAAGGTTTATGAATATACAAATAAAACATTTATACAACATACACAAAGACAGTTTTCTTTTTCGTGATGGCGGTTGATTAATCTCTACTTTATTCGTTTTGTGCACTTTTGTGCTGAACTAATTGCGTCGAGTATAATTTATTATATTTTGTAACGTCACGCCGCGATGCCTAGTTTGCCGGACAAGCGTTATGTGACAACCCGTTTTTGTATTGCAAATTGGAAGCCGAGATCTGGGGATCGACACTCCAGGATATTTATATAATACCGATGAAACAGAACAGGCGAAATATTCATTTTAAATAAAGAGGAGAATAAACAGGGGTTAAGGTCATTAACTGGTTTTATTTTCACATAATTCGCGAGAAGAACCTCACGACACAAAACATCGTGCGAACATAAAATTTAAAAAGTAATAATAATACATTGAGATTTAAATCTCTGAAGTTATTGACAGGATATTTATTTTGTCCGTTTATAAAATTCTATTCGCTATCCTCTTTATGCTTATTGTGCTATTTATTGCACAAATTAGTTTATATTAGTTTCGTCATTGAAAATAATATTACAACGCGACTGCATACATAACCAGATCCGGCACAAAAATATGAACAATTTTGATAACAGGTACATCTACCTAGTGGTGAAATTGTGAACTACAGAATAAAAATAATCAGCTGAAAACATTATTGCCGTACAGAGTGTATTCCATTAATATCATGTTATTGAATATGGCATACCATACATACCATTATACAATGGGTTGGGCTGGTGCAACGTTTAGCCAAGGGCAAAGGTAATTTTTGAAAGATTTTTTGCTGTAATTCGGTTATGATTACATGTTAGGACTTGAAAATGATAATAACACTTATATGCATTGATCTTATCTAAATGTGGTAAAATTTCTATAATCATCGGATGACTTTTTTTTTAATAAGCGTTTTGAAATCAAATTTAAATAAAAATCGCATTCGAAAGCATACTGCATGGAAGATCATTTGTGTGGCGACACGGGACGTAACGTTTGAAAAATGCACCTTTAGCCAAACTTGAAAATATAATATACCGTCAATGTTTGAATTGACGGAAATCAACATGATCAACACTGAAATCTATTTTAATTAATACTCTATTTATTTATTTATTTAATTTTAAGTATAGATCGCCAATTGAATATCAAAAGTAGATTATGGTACTATCCTCAAATTAGGGGCTTGTTTCTTAGATATTTTATAAAAAAATTCCGAAAAAAGTTAATACTTTCCGTAATAATAAGTGAATGTACCCACATAACAGAATCACATTGTAATGTGTTTAAAAATACATATATTATAAGTAGGTATATTTTTGAACAGTTGGTATATTTATGAAGTCTTCCCGGAATAGTTATTTTGTTTGCAATAGTTTATCATTGCTTACGGATATACATTAAATTACCTATAACAGTGACTGTTAAGCGTCTTTTTTTTTACAGATTTTCTGCTTACTTACTATACTTTTATTTTATGTATAATGGTTGTTAAATATTTTTATAATATTGAATAAATATTGAATAATTGAGCAATCCCGAAAAAATGCAGACAGTACGGGAAAATAAACGAATATATTTGTTCAAGTTTTGAATTTACAATAGACAATTTTCTGAGTTTTGTACGTAATTTATATTCGGTTGGTAATCTGTGTCTAAAATTGTTACACAATACAGAAATGCTTGAAAATTTAACAGGAAATTTCTTAAGTGTCGTACTTAGCGTAAAAAAAAATAAAAATAGTTTTATGTAGTATTCTTTTTTATTAACTAATTTAAATATCATATCAATATTTAAATAAAGTAAGAATGTCTAAGTATGACATAAAATAATATTATATTAATAAGTAGGATATTTACTCGTGAAGGTAATGATGGTCGGTATGAAGAAGATCCAAACCCCGAGACATCTTAACAGAATATATTTCTATAGTAACTTTTATATCACTTTGCGTAAAATATTTAACTGGGAGAGTAAGTGGTACAGGAGAGTCGAGATACCTATGAGACGTAAAAATTTGTTTATAAAAGTCATATAGGTTTAAAAAAAATAATTGCAGGACCCTTAATAAGAATAATGAAGAATTTATCATTTGAAAGGAATATGCAATAACTTTATTTTTGAAAATGTAGCATTGACTGTTTGCCTCTCTTTATTAGGAAATAATAGAGTGGAAAAAAAAAACACCAAAATAAGTCTATATCGGGTGATACTTTTTTTAAAGAATATTTTAATGATATAGTTTTATTCAAACTATAATACACAAATATTATTTTGTATGGGTTCGTATCATCACATCGCCGTTTACAACCGGAGGATTTGGAAGTATGAACTTTTCTTCCAGCAAATTTATTGCGATTTATAAGGATAGCATTTTGTATGAAAGAAATCTGACTGGGGTGGTACATAAGGAAGGTCAATTTTTTATTTTCTCAGGAGTTTTCCTAATAAATATGGATAAAATCCTCGTATAAAACATAAAAAACCCGTTACAAACATATGAAAAACGAGAAAATAGATACAATATTAAACATATTATTAATAAAGAAAATGTTACTGACAAACCGCTATCAACCGATATCAAACTCCACTCCGAACCATATTTTCGGTGGCAATGGTTATTCGTTGCTTACAGGTATACATTAAATTCCAATAAAAAATAAATCCAAAACTCCTAAGCATATAATTAAAATGTACAATAAATTCATAACTAAATTATTAAACGTTATAATAGCGTCATACGTGCATGCTCTAATGCAGGTTGCATTTTTACACAACTCAATGAAAATATTTATGATCTATCATAAATAGTAAAACTAAATTTCTCAAAATATAATAAATTATACTCGACGAAATCAGGTCAGCACAAAAGTAAATAAAACAGAAAAAGGAGAGATTAATCAACTACCATCACGTAAAAACAACTGCTACCGATGAGGGAGGGAGTATGGTTGCAAGAATTCGAAGGCTTATACGAGTGTCGGGGTATACATACTGCTGGATGAATGTTTAGAAGTCATTTTAGATTCTGAGTGGAGCGAGGAATGTATTAGTTTTACAATAATTTTTATATTAGAATCAGAGCGTAGTAAGGGATCTATTGGATTGACTATGTCGTATGTATTTTATTTCTTTTCCGTCTGGGAACAACATTTTTACCAAAAACTTACTCAGAAGTATGTACTATGGGACCTTTTCTAAAAGATTATTTTCTCTCGTTGGTACATTTGCAAGGTCATTTTTCGACTTTACAATGGGTGTTCGAAATAATTGTGAAAAACCCAAAAGAAAAGTGTAGGTAAAACGGCAAATATTTACGACACACCGCGGAGTAACCGTTTTCTTTTATTTTATTATGTCTAAAGGATGATTACTACCAGAAATATTACTTCATCGATAAATGATTAGTAATAAATTTCAATCTTATTCATATTTTGATACTTACAAGGTAAAGTGCTTCTCGATATCAAAATTAGTTTTCCTAATAGTTGGAAAAAACCAAAAAATTAAAATTTATTTGCTAAGTTACTTATTCAATATGTTTAACTTAAGTTTTTTACTATAAATATGGTGGAAAACATGAGTTAATAAAATATTGCATAATGATATTTTGACAGAAAACGTAAATTTGTTTTTTTCTGAACGTGATAAAGAGCGTAACTATTCTCAGCGGAGTTCAGTTGATAATGAAGCTTTGTCAACAATATATTTTATAGTAGAATATTTAAATAGGCTTCAAATATTTTCTTTCATAATATTTGTTTAATGTTGTACCGATTTTCCCAGTTTATTAAATTATCCCCGGTTTTCCGATGTTTTATTNACTTATTCAATATGTTTAACTTAAGTTTTTTACTATAAATATGGTGGAAAACATGAGTTAATAAAATATTGCATAATGATATTTTGACAGAAAACGTAAATTTGTTTTTTCTGGACGTGATAAAGAGCGTAACGATTCTCAGCGGAGTTCAGTTGATAATGACGCTTTGTCAACAATATATTTTATGGTAGAATATTTAAATAGGCTTCAAATATTTTCTTTCATAATGTTTATTTAATGTTGTACCGAATTTCCCAGTTTTTTTAAGTTATCCCCGGTCTTCCGATGTTTTATTTAGGTTTTTCACATTAATTAAGAAAGTACTCAGGAAAATCAAAAATAAACTTCGTACTAAAGTACTTTTCTAGTCAATTACCTCTTTAGCTAATATTATAAATTAAAGAAAAATTTTTAATAGATAAATTGTAAACAGGAAAAAAAATCGTAATATTTTAATAATTTTTTTCGTACCTATTCCGGTTTTTTTTTTCAGTTTTTCGCATTTGAAGAGAAAACTCTTGAGAAAATCGAAAAATTGACTTTTTTAAAAACCTCTCTCCCCAAACTGATATCCTTGTGTTGTTCAATGACTAAATATTTTGATTTGGAAATTTATGTATTCACCGTTAAATATTGTTTTTTTTTTTTAATAACATGTGTTAATTGTATTTATGTTCCAGCTTTTTGGTTTATTATGTTTCATATTAAGTATATATTTTTTAATTCGTCTCGTCTATTATCTAATGATATATTATAATTCAGAGTTTGCGTTATTGTCGTCGGAAAATTTGTAGAACGATTAAATTTTATTATGTTTTATTAGGTTTTAATCATTATTATGAGTGGTCTCAAAACTCAATCCCATAGGCCGTAAGTTAAAACTAATATTTTTATCAGAATTTATGAATGTATGGATTGAAAGCCATATGAATTATCTAGAGTGGCGAATCGATCACCAAAACAACCAAATACCAATTATCGGAAAGTTCACATATATATTTGATAATTTTAACATGTGCGCTGTGGCTGTAATATTGTGAGTTTTTTTATTAACTAATTTGAATATACCTTTGTTATTGTCCGGTTAAAACTTAATCTCATGGTCATACATTATATTCGGAAAAAAAATCTAAAAAATAATTATGGCTATGATCACACTTATTACTTATGTATTATATTATCGCATGT